GCTGATTAAAGCGGACCTTTACCCATATCTTTAAAATAACAACAAAGACACCTTTAAAAATGTTTAGTAATGACAATCTACAAACACATACTTCTAGATAATTGCCGGCTTTGTATTCTTTGCATTCTTTATTTCTCTTCCCCTCCCCATTCTTCTGACAGTGGCCATTTTAAATAAGGGCAGATTACTAACGCTCCTTTTACTTCCTGAATTTCTGAGACATGTGACTAGGACATGTGACCATCCACATCATCTCAGGGGAAGAAAATTCCTTTCCCTGAGATCTTGTGAAATTACAGATGAGATTTCCCAGCAATGCTTTGCTAATGACAAGGCAATCCCAATGTGCATTGCATTGGCAAACTGAAGTCATTTTGCCCTTTCAAAGCAGGAAGTGAATGCTCTGCAAGTGTAAGTATTTCAGTTATCACAGCATTTTACACCTGACATGCCTATGTTGTTAATAATTAACATACATAGAGGGATGCATTGGTAGAATTTGATTTTTGAGTGTAAAGGTCCGCTTTAAGCAAGAATTGGCGGAACTTCGACCAGTGTTTGGCTGTTTTAAGATATTATGTCCACAAAAAAAGCTTCCCACCAATTGTTACTTTTTTTTTTAAACTGAAGCAAATATACTGCAGATGGAAATTGTGCTAAAGGTCACCTCGGAGGAAACTCTGCACTTTACAAACACTTTAACATCTTCAATATATGCAAGCAGATCAAGTACATGTGCAATTAAAACCTTTTCTCCTTTTCCCTTTGTCTTGGTGCCCTTGCAGAGCGGCACTAGCATTTTAATTTTGTCTTCAAGTTCAAATGTTCTGTTTTCTGTTAAAGTTGTCTGCAGACACAGAGCCTCCAACATACAGACTCATGTGAACTCTAACAAATTATTTTGATTTTGATGACAAAGGTGCATGTACTCTAATGATTGCATACGGAACAATGAAACAGGATTTTTAGTTAAAAGTCTGCAAATGTTTATATAAAGCAGACAATAGTAGGGGCAGAAATGTAGCCTAATGCCCAAACCCTACTTACACAACCTTAGTTATTCACAATTACTTATTTTTAAACCACTCAACACAAGCCTGACACATTTTTTACATATAGCATATCGGTTTTAAGGTATGCTGACCTTAAAATGAATAGTAAAAATGCAATAAACTACAGTGCAATAAACGTTAGGGCCAGATCTCAGCTCCACTCTTTAGGTGTGGTGAAGTTTAGATGCGTTTTAGGAGGGTTTTATATGTCTTGCCAGTCATTTCTACGGAAGGTACATTTTGCTGCAAACTGCAGAATGATATAGCAAGCAAACATTTTGCTAACGCACCAAATTGTGAAATGGCACCTCAAAGGACCCATACATCTCAAATTAAAAATAGAAATTCACAAATATTGATATAGATATTCACAGCTGCACAGAAAGATATTTGATATGTTTATTCATTCTCACATTAGCTTACATAGCATAGCCCAGAGCTGCTTTAAGTCTAAAGCTGGCCATACACCAGTGGAGTTTTGTTTGAAAAAATGTTCTTTTTAGATTGTTCATTTGATTTTGTTAAATGATATAACATATACTTGATGTTATAAAATCAACAATCGTTTACGACCATAGAGATGAATATAATTCTTATAGTAAATATGGTTTTCGCTGGGAAAACTCCACTCATTCCAAATTAAATTTTAAACAACATTGGAATCTTATTCTTATCGAATGTTCTGACACGATTTTTCATATTAAAGTGAAATTAAACCTTTGGGTTTTATTCTTTCAACTGTTTCTATGTATAGGGGGCCAAAAAACTGTTTTTATTCTTTAAATTCTTTTATTTCCTCGTTCTCTAGTGGTATACAAACCACCAGCCCCACCCCTGTACGGGTGCCTCCATCAGCTAGCTGCAGAAACTGTAGAAACTGAGCGTGCATGCTCACAGCCCTGCTCACACCTACCTGTGTGCGTCCATAGACACATACAGCGTGCGGCCAGCTGCGCCCCACCCTTGCAGTTACAATTTGACTGACGGCAGAAGGAGCCTATGGCTTCTCTGCCCTCAGTACCCTCCACACAACCAGGAAGTATCGTCTCAGTCGCTGCAGAGGAAGTGGCTGCAGGTAAGTGTTGGGGGGACGGAGGTTTTATACAAGTACTGGGTGTTTTTTACTTAAATGCAGAGGATGCATTAAACACTCAGCCTTTAGTAATACTTTAATGATGGTAATGATGGTACAAAAATCTACCAGTGTATGGCCAACTTTGCGTATCTCTGAAATGGGCTCTGCTGAGACACACTGTTTAAGTCGGAATTTCCATAGATTCAAATGGATCTCTATGGAGGCACTTCAAGCCACTCTACTCATATTAGATTTGGCAGACATGTTTTTCTTTACCTAACAGACGGAAGAGACTGTTTACAAAGTTTTCAGGTTGATTCACCCGTGCCATTAATGGCAGGTCACAGTAGACATTATAAGGATTAGGAGGGAAGCCAGGTGGTACGTTCAGAGTCATGTGACCTCAGCATTTATTAGTAGCAGAACACACAACCAGCTTACTCTTTCTCCTATCTCTCCTCTGCACTTTTCCTACTCTTGCTCCACAGGTTGCTACCCAGGCATCCCACTTCTTCCCACCACCCTCTGCTCTTCCTGCTCTTCTTGTTCTTTTCTTTCCAGTGTCCCAAACTCCCCTGGCAACCCAAGGCATTTTGCTCCCTGCTTTTTCCTGCCTTCCCCGGCCTGGCCTCCCTTATACGTTGGCACTCATGCAGCAAGTAATGGAATGTGGGGAGGCCGGGTGAGTGTGATGTGTTTCCCCATATCTGGAGGTAGCTGGTATTTCTCAGGTGGTCTGGCAGTGGGGTGAGCTCAGAATAGGTAATTACAGCCTGTCTAAAGTTCCTCATGTAAAATGAGCTTCTTGTTTGCTAGATATGGTTAAAGTTTACATTAAATTATTCAGCCAAGCAAAAGCACCATACTAGTACTAAAAAATGGCTTATTAAGTTGTGACCTAGTACCAGATTTCATGTTTGTCTTTTTGAAGCCAAATATAATAATATAGGATTATGAGGGTTAATTTTTATCCAGAAGTACCAGTAACTGGTGTAAGTCCATTTCAGGTAGCTATTACACCTTTACATTCATTGCAGGGTTACATTATTTTGTCTTGTATGCCTATGCAATATGTCTAATTTAATGATTTCAGGAGCTTCAGAATAAATGGCATTAATGATTTAAAGTAGTTTCCCAGCAGTTGTAAATATTCACTAACAGCCACACAGGCATCTACTGGTCATACACCACTAGAATTTTGATCACAAAAATACATTTTTGGAACCTTCATTTGATTTTCTAATAGTTAATGGGGGTCAAATTGACAAGTGATTTCAAAAGTAGAGAAAAAAAACATTGAAGGAACAGGATGGAAAACAAACAAAATTCTAATAGTGAATTGGAGAAACTCCATTTTCAAAATCAAATGTTAAAATCGAACGAAATTTGGAACGGCATTCTACAAGTCTCTGATGGCATCATCCAATGGTCTGGCAAGATTTTTCATTCGTACAAAAATTGGCCAGTGAATGGCCAGCATTACATTATCTGCAGTGGACAGCTGTGTCAAAGTTCATGCTTTAATTAGACTAATGTCATTGGAAGGCTTCTGGAGCAAAGGGAACATTAAAACTATCTATTCACACACAAAATATTGATTTTCGGATGTTATGTTCACCAGAAGGCCTCTTGTAAAGTGACTGTCACTTAAATAACTGTATAAAAATAAAAGTTTTCACCGAAGAAGATATTAAATATTCACCTCTCCCGATGCCCCCACCGCCAATCTCTGTCATTGTTGGAAGAAACTGCTAGCTAAAAAAAATCACTATATATTTCTCAAAGTCTTGGATGCTTGGTCACCCCGCTGTGCTAGGGGGTTTAACCCAGCAACCGCCACATCACGGGATGAACCACAGCATTCAGAGTTGTACCAGACAGTTGACACTCCAGGAAGTGTCAGATTCTGCCAATTCTTCAGCCAGCATTTTTTCCTCACTCAAGTAGAGATGGACAGTGCTGGCATTGGGAGAAGTATTATTAAAATTCTCATTTGCAGAAAGTACTTTAATGCATATTTTATTTAAAATCTTATTTTAGCAACCGAGCCATTTGAAGTAATTTTTCAGGAGCATAGAGCTATTACTGGTTTGAGAATTACACATGTGGGATTTAATGAAAGGTTATCCTTTATGTGGGATTATTAATGAAATCCAATGAGCATAAACTGTTTCCACTATGTTGAACCAGGCCAATGTGTTACTTCAGAAAGCTCAGTTTGAGAGAAGTTATCCAGTACTTTGTTGTATGTCCCATTTGATTACACAGACCACTGTTCACCATAAACATTTAAAGCTGAACTCCGGTCAAATGGCTAAATACACAGATTCAATGCATATATAGAAGCTGCTTTATCTGCCAAAGGATCTGTATTACTGTCCATCCACTTTTGGACCATACATGGCTCTGCCCCACTACATAGCCTTTGTCTGACAGGTTTAACTCTGCTGCAGTTGAGTAACACTTCCAGGTTTTGTCCTTCCCCCCTCTCTGTGACTAGGTAGTGAAAGGAGAAGCAGCAGACTGATGAGCTCATCTTTCTGTCACTCTCCTACTTTTAGAATGCCCTTGTAAAGCACTTCAGCACATCTGACTGGATCTTCGTGTTTCTTCCTTTCCCAGTCTGAGCTCTGATGTACAAGGACTACATGAGACTAATACCAAGTCAAAGTCAGATACTTGCACTGCCTGAATTAAAAAAATAAATGTAATTGTATATGACTGAATACCTATCTGCATTAACATGTCTTTTATATTTGCCTGGAGTTTAGTTTTAAAAATGTAATCCTAGCCTTGCTTGTATAATAGTTATGCCTTTCTGGGGCAGGTAACACATACAATTTGTTATGCCATGTTCCCCTTCTTTTTTCCTTTTAATCTCGAGGCATACTGCTAAGAGACTGCTTCCTCATGGTAGAAAGTCTTCTGCGAAAATTTTCTCCTGCAAAGAAATAAAGCAGTGGATCAAGGCAGCAGTTGGAGGCAGCAAGGGCCAAGCAGATTACAACCTTCTTCTGGTGCACTATCTGCTTAGCAGAACCATTTTTAACTGCATGAAGATGAAGAGTCCGTTGGATGTGGTAGGGAATAAAGCTTATAAAAAAGACAATCAGGACTATGATGATCATTCGAATGGCCTTCTTCCTGGAAGCTTTTTGTTTGTTCATGGAATTCTTCATCAAGGTCCTAATGATCATAGTATAACAAACCAAAATGACAATAAATGGAGCGATGAAGCCAAAGGTGAGTGAGATATAGTTGAGGATGAGCACTTTATTTACTGAAGTATTATTTTGGGAAAGCTCAAAGCACTTTGTCCGGTTTGTTGTTGAGTCAAATTCTGATCCACTCATTAAAAATGGGGCGCTTGTTAATGTGACAAATCCCCATATTCCAATACAAGCCCACTTGGCTCTGGTGACTGAGAGAAATCGAAGATTTCTCACGGGGTGGACTATAGCCAGAAAGCGGCTGAAGCTCATTGCCGTCAGGATGAAGATGCTGCAATACAAGTTGACGTAGAAGGAGTATGAGCTAAAACGACAAAAGAAATCCCCAAAAAGCCAGTTGCCTCGTTTCACATAGTAGGCCACTCGAAATGGAAGGGTGCAGATGAAAAGCAAATCAGAGATGGCAAGGTTGAGCATGTAGATGTGAAAAGCTGTTCTCTGTTTGTAGGTTTTTATAAGGATGAATAATGCAAAACAGTTCCCTACTAGTCCAAACACAGTAAACATGGAGTATGCAGTGGAGTAAACCTGGTTACGGAATTCATCAATATCGTTTCCTGTTGTGTTCAACATGATTTCTTCTGGAGGACTAGCACTTGAAATCTGGGAAAACAAAGAACCAGGTTAGGAAAGAAACAGTTGTCCTTAATACATTTAACTACTATTGCCATATAAATCAATGTTTGTGGCATGACAAGAAGCATAGCACAGATAGAAGCTGCCATGGCTTTAAAGTTTCCAGCTGTGATCAAAGAATACTTGTTTTTTTGGATGCCATGTCATGTATTTATTAGCTAAAACAAATGTTTTGTCAATGGAAGTTTCTCATACAGTATTATGTGTTTTAATAGGGAGACCTATGGGGCCCTGGTTCCATCATTGCACCATTAATTCATGTAAAGTCCTTATACATGATGCAGTGGCAGACCTAGTATCCAAAGGGCCGTGGTGCAAGATTTTATCTTGGGCCCCCCTCCCATGACAGGGAGGGGGGGCGGGCGGGAGCGGATCACACTGGCATCCGCCCCCCCTCCCCCTGCGGTCGGGATCCCTTTCCCTGTACCTCCTCTTACCTGCTGGGGCCCGGCCTCCTCCACCCCCTCCCCTGTCACCTCTGCCATGCCGCTCCGGTACCGGCCATACCCCCCTGATGGCGGTGTTCTATCAAAGGTTGTGACTACGTTAGAATGTGTGACCGGTGACATGGTCACACGTTTTAACGTAATCCCGCCCAGTTTTTCGGCGGTGGAATGTGTGACCGCCAATAGGTGAAGCATTCCAGCTCTTTCCCAGCTGTTCCAGGGCAGATCGGCATCGCAAATCGCAAGTGCAGGAGAACCGATCTGCCCTAAAACAGCTGATCGGTCCTGAAATGTCACTTCTATCCGACTGCGATCTCACATTCCACCGCACTCACAAAGTCGGATAGAAGTGACATTTCAGGACCGATCAGCTGTTCCAGGGCAGATCGGTTCTCCTGCACATGCGATTTGCGATGCCGATCTGTCCTGGAACAGCGGAGAAAGCGTTGGAATGCTTCACCTATTCCAACGCCGAAAAACTGGGCGAGATTACGTTAAAATGTGTGGCAACGTCACTGGTCACACATTCTAACGTAGTCTCAAACTTTGATAGATCACATGCCTACCTGTAATCATTAAATCAGAGAAATAGATTATAATAGGGAACATTACAGTGTAATATTCCCCATTATAATCCACTTGTCTGATAACATTAAATAGCATTTCACAACTATTATGCTCCAGCTGCCGTCACCCCCGCGCTCGGACTTACCCAGCCAGAGGACCGCATGCCAGGGAGTTTCGATTTGAGCACTGCAGGGGGCGGGGCTTGTGACACACACACGCCTCCTGTGACTCCCCTCCCGCTGCTTGTTACTATGGACGCGGCCGGGAGGGAGGGGAGTCACAGGACCCGCCCCCTCACTGAGATGCCCGTTGGCAGTGCGGGGCCCCGGTGTTCGAACACCGGGACCGTGCACTACCAAAAAAAAAACGGATCGGACCCCACTTAGGCTGTGGGGGAGCCCAGGACTGGACCCCACTGGGCCCCCACACAGCCAAAGGCCCCGGTGCCCCGGCACCGGCTGCAATGGCGGTAGTTCCGCCACTGACATGATGTATTTGGTAATATCTCTAACACAACTAACACATAACAGAAATTTTAACTTTTACATTTCATTTTGGCTAGTGCGGAGAAAGAAAGAAATGTCCCTTCAGTTCCTACTATGACTCGATGTGAAATGAAATCTTTCCAACAGGGTCACAGACATAAACAACACACTTTCTCTTAAAAAAGCTGGTACAATCAGTGACATGTTGGACATTACACTTTGATTATAAACGCTAGAATAGCACTATTTACCCTGGTGGACACATTTTTTTATCTATGTGTATTCCATGGTAGAGCAACTGAGGTTGCTGTGCACAACGAAAACACAGAACCATTGCTACAACGTATGCTTTTCCTGCCGGAGACTAGTAAAAGGGAGGACGCAGTGTGTGTGGGCTAGCCCTGGGAACACATCTGCTAAGGGGCACAACAGACTCCATATGCCAAGCAGTCTCCTGTGGTAGCCTGGATATGGGCAATACCTCTTAAGGATTTTGGAGATGAAACCATGAGTGTTTCACCTTCCTCCAGATCTCACACTTTCTGCTCTGACAGCGGTTCTTGGGGGGGGGGGCTTGTCAAATGTGGGCTTACTTCCTCTTTACTTACTTCCTTACTCCCCCTCCTTTTTACTACTTCTCATTTGAGCCTATGTCCTGCCTTCTTTAATGGATTCCAACCTGCATGCATCATGGAGCATGAAATTCTGAACGAAGACTGAGCAGTGCTGTGCATTGGCAAGCAGGGGGCTGTGCAACTCTATATACAGTATATCAATGCCATTATCACTGTGGCTAACTAGAATCACAGGGAGAGAGCACTTTGAGGCTATGCATGCAGGACCAGGCGTGCAGGGTATTTATCGGGATAGCTTGGTACTCAGTAGGACAGGAAGGACTGAGATGGAGGAAGGGCCTCCATCAAAGCAGAATTCAATAACTCACTAGAATTGGAAGCATTAGCATTCCAATAACACACAATAGGTCCGGGAACTAAAAGTCCCAGTGTTCAAATGGCAGCATACAGCTGGTATAGGCTTACAAGTCCCAGCGTCCTGATAGCAACACACAGCAGGTACAGAACAACAAGTCACTGCCTTCTGACAGCAGCACACAGCTGGTACTAGGGCTGCAACAACTAATCGACATAATCGATTATAATCGATGATTGAAAAAGTTGTAAACTTTTTCAATCATCGATTAATCCGCTTCCGATTAGTTGGCCCTGTTCCCAGCTCCACACATGCTGCGCGCCGTACCTCCTCCCCACCTCTCGCTCGCAGATGCCAGACCCGCCTGCCCGCATCCACGCTCCACACGCCGCACCTCCTCCCCACCTCACTCTCACCGCCAGCCCACATCCACGATCGGCACAGGGACACAGGGATAAGAAGTAAGGAGGATCAGGTGTGGGGGGATGACAGCCACCGATAGACAGGCCCGATCTCAGAAGCAAGTTGCTGGAAGACTGCTCAGGTAAGCCTGCACCTTCCCACACATGGTGCTCTATAATGTATTGCTGGGATTTGTATTCCTCTATAGCTGATGGCCCTGTTCACAGCTCCACACACGCTGCGCGTACATTGTGATGTATATTATACAGCACAATGTACCATCAGCTATAGAGGAATACAAATCCCAGCAATACATTACACGCTATATGTATAATGTATTGCTGGGATTTGTTGTATTCCTATATAGCTGCTGGTATTCTGCATTGTGCTGTATAGAGGAATACAAATCCCAGCACTAATACATTATACAGCGCAATGCGGAATACCACCAGCTTTAGAGGAGTACAACAAATCCCAGCAATAATACATTATACAGTGGTGCAATGCCCGATACCACTAGCTATAGAGGACTACAAAACCCAGGAATAGTAAATTATACAGCGCAATGCAGAATACCTCCAGCTATAATGTACTATTGCTGGTATTTGTTGTATTCCTCTATAGCCGCTCCAAGCTTGCTCCTGTGATGGACTGCAATCTCAATACAAACTAGTAGTCCCATCACTGGAGCCATTTTTTAAAATGTATTTTATTTTATCCGATTAACCGATTAATCGAACTTAATCATCGGCTAACTAATCGATTTTGAAAATAATCGTTAGCTGCAGCTCTAGCTGGTACCAAACTACAAGTTCATCCATCCCAACAGAATTCATACAGCAAGTATAGGACTACAAGCCCCAGCGTTCAAATGGGTGGCACAAATTTGGATGCTGTCCCAAGCATAGCTGCTCCTATAATAAGTCTGCATCTAGTGGACAATGCAGTCTGAGGTTTTCCATGTCTACCACTGGAGCAAACTCTGAGTATTCAGACTTCTTTCCATCCAGAAATCTGTCATATCATATATGGAACTCAAGCCTCAGGCCTGAGCCAGATAAGCCCCCGAGCCAATGAGTGAAAATCTAGCCATGTTTGGGTAGCTTTAGAAAAGCATCATCTCCATACTCCCTGTGTAGGCACAGAAATGTATTAATCAGCTATACAGATGAGCTGACTAATATACTGTACAAACATCCTAGTTTTTCATGTAGCATATGTTTCACAGAGGTTGTTGATTTAACCCAAGTGGTCTATTTTGCATGTACTGTATAACTAAATTAGTGAAAAAGATTTTACATTACCTTTAAAAAATTGGATGGGGTAAAGGGTTGTTTACTTTGTGATTCTATGTCAACATGTTTACCAGAAATTCTTATCAGTTTTATCAAATATTATTCAGCTAGTTATGCTTGGCCACAGAAACAGCTTTCTATATTTGATTTGGCATCAGATAAATGTATGACTTTATTTCAAATATACAAATATTTCCTGTGTATACAAAACACAAAAAGATCCCCAGCGCACCTGCCAGCTAGCCTGCAACAAAACGAATTACCCTGTCAACAGTATGCGTTAAAAACAGAGGTTTTAGTTGCACAAACCTTTGGCCAAAAATATGTGGAAGCCACACTGCCACCGTCAAGGCACCTCTTAAGTGTGGTCCTAACTCTTATTTATTTGAGTCTCCAAGTGTAAGCATATTAATGAAGTTGATAGATTCAATGCAGGTGTGCCTGGGAGGCAGCCTGCTCCTCCTCAAAAGTTGCAGGGACGCACTGGGGGCCCAGCAACCGAAAATGCACGCTGGGACCCCCAGTGCGCCCCTACATCAAAAATAGTCAAACTAGAAAAAGATGGCAACCACATGAATCTATAAACAGCCTTTATAGCAGGGCGCACATGGGAAGGCTTACAACAATACAAAACACAAAAAGATCCCCAGGGCACCTGCCAGCTAGCCTGCAACAAAACGAGGAGGAGTAGGCTGCCTCCCAGGCACACCTGCATTGAATCTATCAACTTCATTAATATGCTCACACTTGGAGACTCAAATAAATGCAGAACATTGTACCCCAGGGTGATCTGTATTACATCACCTGCCAGCCACTCTGTTAAGAATGCTCCAGAGTCTTATGTTAGGCGTTGATACAGACAGTCCTGTCCGTTTTGTCAGCTGGCCAACCCAGGGGAGCTTGTCATCAGTGGGGTTAGATCTAGTTTTTACGAAACACATAGGCAATGTTTTAAAGGGGCATCTATTTATCCTTCCCTTTGGTGAAATAGATGTCCATATTGAATGAAAGCTTCCCCTGTTAAGAAAGGCTGTATGTCTGGTTTGAGGCTCCAAGGCTGAAGCCTCAAAGGGTATAGCCTTGTGTTAATGAGTGCATATAGTGTTTACCTGGTCACTCAGCTGCATCATGTAATTTGGGAATAGAGATTTGTCCATAATACCAGCCATTTGAAACATTAAGTCCTCGGTTTCTGTCATCAGTGTCATCTACTTCTGATCACAAAATGCATTCCTAAAAATCGAGAAAAAACTTAGATTATTTTAGATTTTCTTAAATGTATGCTCACCATACATATATTTTAAGATATTATCAATTTTAAATATGAATGTAAAAATGAAAATAAATCTGTTAGATGCAGATCTGCCATGTGGGAAAATACAGAATTGGAGACTCGATAAAAGCCCCTCTCTTTTCCATTCCACCCCAATCTGTTCATATTTAAGCAAACCATGTTCTCTTTGCCTTGAGTGAGCCCAGGAAAATCTGAAACATCTCTTCAGTACAAGGATGGTTAAAAGCTATGGATGTTAGGAAACATTTACAGGGTTATTCACAATAGGGTGAAGAGTTTGGAGAAGGCAGGAGAATTGAACAATCGAGGTCAACATAGCTGAACTGGAAAGTGAGCTGAATTGGAGAATTTTTCCAAATCAGCTAATTTGGCCTAGATTGTTCACTTCTCCTGCCTTCTCCAAAGTCTTCACCCTTTTGTGAAAAGCCCTGTTATAGTTTGTGTCTGGAAATGTAGTTCTTGCAGTGTGTATCATTAACACAAACATATAACTCCTCAAAAATAAACATTTTAAATATTAGTTTTTATAACTACATAGTAGGTGAGATTGAATAAAGACAAGAGTCCATCCAGTTCAACCCACTGTATGTGTGTATATGTGTGTGTGCCTGTATATATGTCGCTAACATTTCCCATATCCCTGTATAATAAGCGAAAGAAGAAACTCATCAAGAAGTTTCTTGAACTTATTAACACTATCAGCGGATACCACTGCCTGTGGTAGGGAATTCCACAGTTTTACTACTGTCGCTACTGTATTTGTAAAGTAAAGCTGTGGCGCAAGGGGGAAAAAAATCGCACTGTTAAAGTAGTATTAAACTCTCAAACATTTTTCAATAATGAAACCAGATCAAACAAGTATACATTGCACATCAAATTATTTCTTTACATTTTGGCACTTGCAGTCATCATGTTTCCAAACAAATGTCTCCAATTCTCTCAGCTCAGCTTCCCTGAACTTCCGGTACAGTACAAGATCACAAGGGACAGAACAGTCTACAGTAGCTGCCCAACTACTAGCTTGGAAAAAAGGAGGAAGGAGGGGAATGGCTTGCATTGCTGTGCCTGTGTGTTTGTGGGGACGCATATAGCTTACTAGCACATGCAAGGGAAAAGAAGCCACCCTACCACAGGATATTAGGGCCAGTGTTCAGGAGACCAGGTAATTCTGCAGGAAACTACAACTCCCAAACATCAAACATCAAAGAGCAGCATTCATTGTAGGTGATTAAACCAGCATTTCAAATAGTTTAGAAACAAAATAAAGTCAACAGAGAAATAGGATTCCAGATAGGAAGACGGGAGAAATAGGATGATAAACTCAGTAACTGTAACAGTTATCAAACTAATTATATCTACAGACTTCTAGAGACATTCAAACAAAACATCCAGTTATGGGAGAAAAGTTTGTCCTTTGGAGATTTCCCAGCCGATCACTGTTGTTTTTTGAGTGAGGATGTCTACTACTCACCTCTCCTTTTAATAGGTGCAAACAATCATTTGTTCCCTCGCTGAAAGAAACATGTGATGTCTCCTCATGTATATAAAACATTCAGGCCTAAACTGTGGAAGCTGTACCCAAAAAAAGGCAAGCAGAAGGAAAAAAAAATAGTCACCAGTATTGCTTGTGGTCTCTCAGCAAGGTGATCTTTTGCCCACTATTGCTTTACCATATACAGTTGTAATCAAAATGATTTAACCCCCATTGCAAATCAGGTTTATTGGCAAAGTTCAGTTGTTTCCAATGAGCAAATCAAACAAAACCAATTGAAATAGGTGAACACAATGAACGTTTCAAGTGGTTTCTCCAAATTCAACTGAAAATGCTTTTAATTACTTCTGCAGTCAAAATTATTCATCCCCTGAATAGAATCCCTCACAAGAGCACAAATCTTGTGCACAAATTAAGCCCTTGATTAGTTGCATTAGGTGTTGTCTCAAGCACACCAAATGCAACTAATCAAGGGCTTCATTAGTTGCTCTGGGTGTGCTTGAGCTAGAACACATGAAAAACCTGAATTGGGTAGGGGTTTCTTGAGTGTCATGTTTGCCAGCATGTTTAGGTGCCCATACACCTTACCAATATCGGCCGATTTTCGTATGCGATCACGTTTTTGTCCGATGTTCGTAAGGTTGATGGGCAGTGTACAACCGCAAATACTGTACAATCGATCGACTTTTGACTAACCAGCAGGTTTTGAAAACTTCGGTCGAACGTACGGTTTTCGCAAACGTTGGTGGCGTTTCCGTACGTCAAAATTTGTACGATTTACACTGCACATGTCGATTACCGCAATTCGTCCAGGTGCTCTCTTCTAATTACCGCTGATTCAACCTTGCGATAATCGGGGCAGGATGGGGCCCCTGTAAAAAAATTGTACGTTGGTTCGATCATCGGACGAAAAGTGTCGTCCGATGATCGCATGATGTATGGGCAGCCTTAGAAAAAGTCAAAAGAATGGTCAAAAAGTTAAGAGAAGAGATCATCATCTTTCACAAACAAGGAACAGGATACAAAAAGATAGCTAAGACAGTGAATTTTCCAGGGGCACCCTTGGAAGCATACTTCGCAATGTTAAAGTTGAAGGAACAGTGGTTACACTACTTGGACAGAGCAGGACTATCTGGCACTGGAAACCTGTAGTGTGTGGAAGGCAAGGTGGATTCTATATGGATTCATTGAAGTATCAGGAAATACTAGGAGAAAACGTCATGCCATCTGTGAGGAAGCTGAAGCTTTCAGCATCACTGGACCTTCCAATAGGACAATGATCTCAAGCATAGAATATCATAGAATATCTTGAAGAAGGTGGTTGCAGCACGCAAACTCAAGAATATTAGTGAACCAGAGGCCATTGCTCATGGGGAATGGGCTATGATTCCTCAGGAGTGCTGCCAGAAACGGGTGTCTGGCAAAGCATCTTGTTTGCAGAAGGTCATAACAGCAAAATAGTGCTCTACTAGGGTTGCCACCTTTTCTTCAAGCTAAACCCGAACACCTAGCGGGTGAGAATGGCTAGTGGTTTATTGCTATGTAAATAGCACCACCCATTCATATGTAAATATCACAGTTGAGACTATTTCCAGTGGGGTGCCAGTAGGCCCTATCTTAATTTTGGTTGCGCCTGTCTGTATGACATCTTGTGTCCGGGTTTCTGCTGCCATGAAACCCGGACACAGCATTCAAAACCCGGGTGAATCCTGGACGGGTGGCAACCCTATGCTCTACTAAGTACTAAAGATGCTTACCATGAAAGGGTTGAATAATGTTGGGACTGCAGAAGTCCTGAAAAGTTGCATTTTCAGTTGAATTTGGGGAAACCCGTTGAACATTGATTGTGTTGTCCTATTTCAATTGCCTTTGTTTGATTTGTTCATTGGAAACAACTGAATGTCTGGTATTGTTGTCAATAAACCTGATTTGCAATAGGGTTTGAATAATTTTGATTTCAACTGTGTGTTCTGCATTGTGTTTCTATGTGGAGTTGGTGATCCCGGAGCAGGGCTTTGCTTCCTTGTGTTAGTCATACCCTCATGATGACTGGTGGTCTAATGACCAAGGAAGGAATAATCAAGTAGCAGCAGAAGAGGTTTGAATAGCCCAGATCCACTGAAAAGTAGAAACAGCAGGGAGATCCTTGTGCTGCATGTCCTCAGGTACAGCTTCCTCCCCAGCAAAGAAGAAGAATGAGCAGAACAGCAGAAACATTATCAAACCTCACTCTAAATCACATGTAACTAGCAGTTAGGCAGCAGTGCCTTAGGTGATCTCACATTGCAGATATATAGCTATTAGGCACAGGACTGCCTAGTCACAAGAAGCGCACTGCCATGTCTTAAGGAGGAATTCTAGGTAAATAGTAAACTTTGCAGAGTACTGCCTAGGCACAGTTAACATTTCTACATGTTCTCTATAACAAAGGAAATCTTCGCTTTTTGAGTTCAGATCCACTTTAAAGTGTAAGTAAATCCAACGAACTAGGACCTTTGTGATTGGCTGTCACATGTGGCCTGAGAAGGAATGTATAGCCCTGTGTAAGTCAGTTTGGAGCTAAAACCGACCATTTCTTTCCTTAGTTACTGAACACAAAAATACACAAAATACAATGGGAGAAAATAAAAAAATTGTATATGCTGCTAGGATGAGTGGAAGTTAAGTGACCTATTTAGTTTGCCCTGCGTGAGCAAAGAAAATAGTTGATCTAAACATACAAATGGCTCAATTTTCTAACATTTTACTGACATAAGTAAACTTTATAGTTATACAGCTATACTGGCTACATGTGTGAATGAGGTCTTTTATCTATTCCAGGGTCACTAAGGTAAGATAGAATCATGGATAATGCATCTTTACTGATGAAAAGTATTCATCTTGGTATGGAAGTGCGTTTGTTCTGAACTTTTGTCCCTTCTTGTATTTTTACTCCACTTTCCTTTTAAGGGGCACACAATGTGTAAACTCCCATTATACAGATACCTAGCAGACAGCTAATTTCATGTGTTGTATGGGAAGGAAAAAGGTGGAGAAGTGTACTCTAGAGCTTAGAAACAGGATGTCTGCTAATTTCAGTATTATACCAGGAAACCATCATATTTTGCCTTACTTTGAACATGCATCCAGCCAGGCTGCCCTCTTTTGATGCAGTTGTCACACGCACAGAGAGGTATATACCATTTAAAAAAAAATAAAACATTTATTTTGGCAGTTATGTTAGATGTACTGTATATAGCTCATGTTCTGATATCAGAGTATACACTAAAAGAATACTCAAGCAATTTAAACTGTAACACTGGGATATTTTTAAGGACATGTAAACCCAATCAGTAAAATCTCATACACCTTAACATGATA